TGATTTTCACATTGATTTTATTTGCACACTTTTTTTTTATTGTTTGATCATAGAGATGAGTGTCTCTTTGAGATAATCCGTTTGGTAACACAGCAGGTCTATTACGTTCTCTTTCCTCATCCTGAATGAAGCCCCGTTTAGACGGTCTAGCGCGGTCGCTTTTCCGCTGTGCCTGCCGTTTCCAGCGTTGCCGCTTTTCCGCTCCCCCCACCATACGACTCGTCCCTAGCCGCAAAGACAAAGCAACAGTCGCAGCCATCAACCGCCCCCGTCCACCCCCCGCTCGTTCCCCGCGTCCACCTCGTCGTGTCGTGACAAGCACTCGCTCCACTTTGACCCTGCCTGCAAGCCCAGCACATTGTTCGTGAGCGGGTTTAGGAGTGTTATATATCAATTATCAATCCACCATCCATTCTTCCGGCTGCGTGATGGGTAAGTTTTGTTTTTGAAACTCGATAGTACCTTTCAAAGGATTTGTTCGTATTGCGAAGGATTTGGCTTTTGACTGCTGCAATTGGTTCGCAATTATCAAGCAGCCACTATCGTTCACATCATAACCTAACCATCACACGTGGTCACACCTGACATTTCATTCATTCCGTATCCGTATTAACCATTGCTTCTTCGTGTTCGTACAGCAGATCCGACTGAGCACCAGTGGCTACGCCTCATGGATCTGGTACGGGCTGACAAGGAGATGCAGGGCGAGTTCATGGGGCCTGGTGCCGCTGGCCGAGTTATCGCCAAGTGGGAGGCTCTTGCCGCGCAGATAAACGCCATGGGCGGCGCGTTTAAGACCGGGGAGAAGTGGAAGGAGGTAAGGTTAAGCTTTAGTCTATAATACAAAGAAATCTGATTCTTTGTATTATAAGCTGTCAACAGCTATGTAATGTGCTTTCCTCTTTCACAGGCATTCAACAACCTGAAAAACCGAGCTAAGCGCCAATACAATGAGCGTGGCAGGTATATGGCCGCTACAGGTGGTGGCCCACCACCACCTGCTCATCTAGGCCTAAGTCTGGTCTACCAAAAGGCGATGGAGTTTGTGCCCAGGGAACAACTCCACGGCAACCCAGTACCGAATGCTCTGCAGGTAAGAATATGTCATTCACCACACTGTATATAAAATATGATTGCAGATGTACAATGTATTTCGTAATTCACTAATTACAAAATGTGTTGTACATGTACAATATTGCACTCTTGCTCATTGATTTGAAGTCTATTCATAGTGATATTTAAAGTATAACTTAATACTTTGGGTTGTTGCAGATGCAGCAGCAGCCGCTTGCTGTGGCTGGGCCTAACAACCAACAGGTTGGGGTTCTGCAGCAAGCCCAGAACCATCGGAACCAGCAGCTCGCCATGGTGAACCAGCAGCTCGCCCTGAACCAGAACCTCGCCCTGAACCAGAACCTCGCCCAGAACCAGAACCTCGCCCTGAACCAGAACCTCGCCCAGAACCAGAACCTGGCACAGAATCAGCTGCTTGCCCAGAACCAGCTGTACCACTGCCAGCCCGTCTATCAGCAGCTGTCTGCTTTTGGTAAGCATGGCATGTTTTCTGTTTGCAATGCTAAGCGGTGCCAGGGTTGCCAGTGACTAACTTTTCTCCATTGTTTTTGAGGCGACTCACTTCTTTCTACTATTTGGGGAAACTCTAACTATGTTCAATTCACAGGTTCCCCAAGTACATTATTGGAGAGCACATCCGCCAGCACATCCGCCAGCATATCAGCCAGCCCATCCCCAGCGGAACCTATGAACTACCAACTGAATCATCCTTGCAACTATTTGCCTGGAACAGGTAAGTTAGTCGAGCAGGGTCGTGTTGTGGTTTGTTCCACTGGCAGATGCTCCTCCTCGTAGGTTATAGCTCAATTTTTGTTTCATTATATTTATCTTACTTCCTCTTTCAGGGCAGGGTGATTTGATTGAGGCTATTCAAGTTCTTACTGCAACCATCTCAAGCCTCGCAGTGAACATTGACACAGCCTCCCTCGATGCTGCAATTGAAAAATTTGCTGAGAGCATAAACGTGCTCAGTAGACTCAACTAGTTTTGACACTTTTGTGTCCTTTTTTTTCTTTGTGATTATAGGGGCTTTTCCCTTTAAAGTTTAGTTTATTTTGAATGTTCTTGTGTAGAGGTATGATATGTATTCATACCAGTGAGTGATACTAGTATATCGTACGGTGTGATTATAGGGGCTTTTCCCTTAAAGCTTAGTTTATTTTTGAATGTTTTCTTGTGTAAAGCTATTTATGTATTCACTCAAAGGTTGTGATTAACTTTTTGTTTGATTGGGACTTTTCCCTAGTGACTTTATTTTGTGTTTTCCTTGTGTATTCATCTTGTGTAGAGATTTGATACTATTAATAAATCTATCTAAATGTGATTTGACGGAACTTTTTGTTTGACAGTATTGAACACTAATTGTGCTCCAATTTTCTTTTGTGATACACTGAGTCCCTAGCTAGTCATCAAATGGACTTGGTTAGAATTAGAACTTTGATACGTTTTGTAATTTCTAATAAAACGTTCAAACTATCTACATGTATTTGTTTAAGTAGCGATTACTCTGCTGACATTGAAAATATACCGGTCAGATTTTCATTTGAACAAGGAGTATTTCAACACCCCAGTCCAGGGTTCCCACATTGGCTCCAGACATTTTCATGACCTTTTTGAATGACATATAGGAATACTGAATCTTTCAAAGCGAAAATTAAGATCACCCAAAATTTGGGCGCGACCCGAATCCGTCACATCTGAATTTTCCAAGACCCTCCATGCAATTTCCATGACGTTGCAGACTTGGAAGCCTGCAGTCATTTTATAGATGAGTTAAGAGGTTTCTAGAATATTCATTGTGTATTTCGACTAACGGAGGAAGAAGCATAGCGGGTATAACATAAACGTTATCGGTCGAGAACTTCCCGCCTGTACGTCACGCCAGTTGTGGGGGTAAGCGCTCGGCCAATCAGGAACCTTTATGTTCTACCCGCTATTCTTCTTCCTCCGTTAGTCGAAATACACTATTCAGTAGAAAGTTAGTCCTTTATAAATTTATTTACACGACATTCATAATAAATAAAGTGATTAAACATTGCTTTTATAAAAGGAGTAGCTCCAAATTTAATTGCAGCTTCAGTGGGAAAAGGAGAAGATATGAATTTAAGGTAGTTTGAACTCTTTATTAGAAATTACAAAAGGTATCAAAATTCTAATTCTAACCAACTCCAACATTTGATGACTAGCTAGACTCAGTGTATCACAAAAGAAAATTGGAGCACAATTAGTGTTCAATACTGTCAACAAAGTGGATATTCGCACCAATCGGTGCGACCAAAACAACTTCAAGAAAAAGTCATCACAAAAACAAAAAGTTCCGTCGAATCACGTTTAGATAAGACAAGTATCTATACTCAAATCTCTACACAATTTAATGGTCAAAATTAAGTTCACTGGGGAAAAGTCCCAATCAAAGAAAAAGTTATCTTGTCACAACCTTTAAGTGTGAATACATATCATATAGCTTTACACAAGAAAACATTCAAAATAAACTAAGCTTAAAGGGAAAAGCCCCTATAATCACACCATACGATATACTAGTATATCTCACTTGTTTATACTATCAATTTAACAAAAACTTACTGTAGTAATAAGTCATAAATGAATCCATAGGTAGGTAGATATTATATTATATAATTCAATATCACAGGAAAAAAGAAAAAAAAACAGTAAGCACATTGTAGGACTTACAAAAGGATCAAACATATTTGATGACTAGACACAGTATCAGTATCACAAAATATAATTGTAGCACAAAGTGTTAAATATCCCACTTGGAGAAAAGTTTAAAGCAAGACAAGCCACCAAAAGCAGAGAAACAAATCTCATTTGGTGTGTCAGGGTATATTTCAAATTTTACTAGGGGTAGACTAAAAATAAGACATTACTTCATTGCACAGACTTGAAAATAGAATTAATTAAACATATTAAGCATCTATAAAAAGGTGTTTTTTCATCTGTCAAATGATAATCCATGGCACAGAATTTTAGGTGTCAGAATACTTTACACATCCAGCACCCATAAAGAAAACAACAATTTTCACCCAAACTTCTTTTCCAAAATAAAGGGACAAGAAAAACAAAACAAAAAAATTTCAGTAATAAGAAAGAGGACAAGAGGGAGGAAACATAATAACAAGAGAAAATAGATAGATATTGATTGAATGACAAATATGTACCACTACATATGGGTATTTCACAAGCAAATGCACAAAACATCTGATGAAGTATTTTATAGACATCATACCCAGCAGAGCCAATCCCTGGAAGAATAAAGCAAAATAGAATCTTGCTGAGCTTGAGAAGATCAAGGTCATTTCCATTAAACTATGGGTGAAGAAACAAACATCACCTTTAATGACGATTGATGTACCAGTGAGCATGTTCCACTAGATGCGCCCTGTTGACATCAGCTTCAGCCAAGAAATGGGCAGGGAGCTCACCAGCAATGCCTGGTTCAAGAATGTTTTCAGGATCCTGGCCGTCCTGGAACACAGGATGATCTATGGGTGCTGGGATTCCATGGTCTACCATAACATTGTGCAGTACAGCACATGCATTTATTATTTTCCCAGCTTTGAGGGGTGAATAATGCACAGGGAGGAACAGGCACCTCCACCGAGCCTTCAACACACCAATACACCTCTCAACAGGGTTGCGGCATTGGCTGTGGAGCTTGGTGTAGCAATATTCTGGTGAGTCCACAGCAGAGGTCGGCATCGGCTCCCAAACCCAGCTCGTTTCCGTCCCGCTCGCTCTGTCACCCGTCCCGTCCCGTCCCGTCCGCTCTCGGTCCGGCTCGCTCACTCCCACTCGCCGAGACTCGCTCGTGTCAACGGGTCCCGTCTGCTGGCCAGGCGTGGCGTGGCGTGGCGCTGGACCGACTTTGCCTACGCGCCACGCCACGCCACGCCCTCAGGTGACCGGCAGGCGGGGCTCGGCCACTCAAACGGGTCCCGTTCGCTCGGCTGCAGTCGGCGAGGTTCGGTACATCGCCATCGCTACCTCGGGTTTCTCGCTCTGTCTCTCTCGCACACCGACTGCGCATGGCGCGCGCTCAGAGTGGGACCCGTTCGGGAGTGGATGCCGACCTCTGGTCCACAGGGGCATTTGGGATTGGTGGCATCAACCATGGCTCAAGAGGGTAAGCTGAGTCTCCTGAAATCAAGAACAAATAAAATAAAAACAGAAATAATTAGGTGAACGGAGTAGCATGAGTATTGTTCAAAGACTCAACAATACCTAAAAGCCAGCATTGATCACCCTGGTAGGCCCTCATCAGGGCATCTCTTAGTGGCGACCACCTATACACATAGGCATCATGAGCCGAACCAGGATACCGGGCATCCAAATACAGAATTTTTAAATTCGCATCACAAATCTTGGAAAAGAGAACACAGCAATCAAATGAAACCATGTGGCACATCGCAACACTTCATTTAACTATTGAGACAGGGAAAACCTGCTTACAACTGCAGCATTTATGGCTGTAAACCTTTTACGACAATAGTAATGCTGGTTTGGTTTGGTAGGGGGGAAAATGGGAATTAAAGTCCCATCAATTAATCCAAGTACCCCTGGCAGGCCCATGCGACTGTTTCTAAAATCAATCTTAATTAGAACCACACAAGAGATGTGAACTATAAAAGTACTGGCTGAAGAACACATACGTTTCAATATGAGCAGCTCGCTCCTCGTTTGTCCAGGGAAACCGAACAAAACGGGGCAAGATTGTCGGATGATTCAGGAGGTTGGTGATCTCTTCAATGTTCTTAACCATCGACGACTGGCTTAGAGGGTGGTGGATGGAAGTACCAGTATGCTCCTGGTAGCTGCCCGTCGCATAATAAAACAGGCTAGAGAGAAACTAGAAACAACAATTAATTAGTGGTGGCTAGCAGATCAAAAGATATTGAGATGAAGAACTGTAGAAGTAGGACAACTTACACGCATGAAGAATGGTATAGCATTGGGAGATTGCCTGCGTTCCGCAAAAGGTGTCAAAATTCCCATCAGCTCCATGAAAATATCCTGAGGCATCCGATATAGTTCAACGAAGGCCTCAACAGACAAATCCAAAGGGTTTGACCGGTCCCGGCACCGAAACCGCAGGTGAACCCCATACGCGACCCGGCGCCGGTGCTCCTCTATGGGGTTTCGCAGCCGGTCACCAAAGTAATCGTACGCTGCAAATAAATTCAAGGGTACATAGTATCAGGGACTCGAGTTCCCGACCTAATGACCACGAGGGTGCTGGAGGTTAGGACAAACTTCGAAAAGGTTAGAAAAACTTACCCATCACGCAGCCGGAGTTACGAACGCTAAACCGTCAGATCAAAATGAAGTAGCTTTATATCAGCGATAATTTAGTAGTTTAGTAGAACTCGTGGAATGGAATACGCGAGATAACGTCTTTACTGAACAGCCTAAACTACGAAAAATAACGAGGGGGGGGGGGAGTTTCCTTTTATGGAGGAAAATAACGACGGCGCACTAAAAGGTGTCAACAACAACACAGCCAGCCGATAATTTCGTTCCGTGTTCGTCTGTTGCGGCTTGCGGGAAGGATGACAGTGGTGGGGGAAGCGGAAAAGCGGCAACGCTGGAAACGGCTGAAAGACGACCCGTCTAGACCGTCTGAACGGGGTTCGTGCGCCACGACGAAAAAGGAACGTAATAGACCTGCAGCATTTCTTGTTTGAGAGACTCTGGGAATGGAATAGATGTTACGTCAAAGGCTTTGGAAAGCAAATCGAACCATTCTTCTTCATTGAGGTCTG